AAAGCTTCTTTATAAGTTTTGTTATACATTGACAAGAATACACAGCAATTTTTTGAAGTCAAGTTGCAATTCAAAAAATATATACTATGCCATCAAAATTATATTGCCCTGTATACGTTTCTGAGGAAAATTTGCTGTTCTCATAAGAAAGGTTCTTATATTTTTTTCAACACTATAAATACCACCTTCATACTGACCTTTGTGAGGACATAGGAACAGTCTCCATGGAAGGTGTAGGCTTTGCCATCGTAGGTGGTGATGTGTGAACCTCCGTTCACAGAGCAGGTTTTTGGGCAATCAAGGTCCTGACAGCTCCACTGACCCCCAGAACAGGCACTGACAGGACAAATGGAAAATTATATCCACTATCAGTAATCACAGGTAGAAAACAAGAGTTCAGGACAAAGTGAATGTTAAGAGTAGCTCACCATTCTTTGCAGCTGGTTGTGTACGATTCTCCAGGACTATATTCTTTTCCATTATGGCTGCAGGAACACTGATGAACTGGGATACATCCACCATGTCCGATGTCATCGATAACAGTGCCTGGCAGACAGATGTAATGATATTTAATGACATTTAATAATGAAAATTGAGCAGAACATTACACAACCAACTGAGATACTATACCTCCATTTTGAAGCAGATAATATTTGTCATATCTCAAAGAACGTAAGAATACATCTCAAAAAATCTAAAACCAAAGGATATCAGTTCATTTCCCTGTTGTCAGTGGTTGTCTCTGTGGCAGTTAGAAGTAGAAAGATTAATTTCAATCATACATTTTAGTCAATATCAAGATAAAAGTATGTACCTGGGGGACAGAAGCAGCCATCGGTGCAGTGGTCTTCACACAGCTGGCGCCTGTCTGGGTTCGAGCAGGTGTCAACACAGGGGATTCCACACTCCTGGTACTCCATGTTGGAAGGGCATGACTTTGCTGCAGGACAGAGGACCACAGTCAGACGTGTTGGGTGTTGGGATTTAATTTCTGATGATCTTTTGACTCTGCTCTTAAACTAGTCTATTTAGTAAGTGATGTCCACAAGTCACAATGGCAGTGTGTTTAAGAGTAGCTCTTTGAAGGGTGTTGATTTGGTGCATTTGAGAATATAATGCTGGATTCTGGGACACGTACGGCAGAACTGGGCTGTCCTCCATTGCTGGGGCTTCCCCCCTGCATGCACACACTGGCGAGAGTACTCTGAAAGGGTGTTGCACAGACAGGAGCTGCTGCTGCCTTTGGGACAGTGGCACATGTCCATCACACAGGCGTTGATGAAGGAGGCAGTGGGAACCAGGTCCTTACAGCTGCTAAAGGCAGGATTGGAGAGGAGCTTCTCACACTCTGGAGTCTGAGCAACAGATTTGAGGAAAACAGGAAAGAAAATTTGGGCGTATGTGCTCATGGTTATTTAAACAGTAGAATGAAAAGAAATTCTATGCAAACAACAAATTTCTGGCTTTTAAAATAGGTCAGTGAATTAAATACCATATCCTTGCAGTCCTTCTGAGATGATTCTGTAAGTTCCTCACACATTTCAGTGGGGTCATTCATCTTCCACATGCTTCCGAAATTATTTGGTGGGAGTTCGATACCTATTGGAGCATTTCACAAGAAAGTGCTTGCTATGGTTCACATGTGTTAGTCCTTTATTAACAAGTATCCATCTTCCAACCCCATTTTAAAAACAAGGACATAGGGGGTTGGGGGGCCTAGAGCCAAGTGCATAGGGCTTAAGGGCATAAAGGTATAGGGCTTAAGGAAATAAGGGCATAGGGTATAAGCATAGGGTAAAAAGAAATATGGCATAAGAGCATTGGGCATAAGGGCATAAGGGCATAGAGCATAAAGGCATAGGGGATAAGGGCATAGAGATTAAAGGCATAGGGGATAAGGCCATAGAGCGTAAAGGCATAGGGGATAAGGGCATAGAGTGTAAAGGCATATGGCATAAGGGCATAGAGCGTAAAGGCATAGGGGATAAGGGCATAGAGTGTAAAGGCATA